GCCTAGTTGTCTGGAAGAGGAGAAATGTAGACAAAAACCTTCACATTTCCGGCAGTTTCAAAGGCTGAAAGGGCAATTTCTTTATCTTAACAAGCTCGTTTGTCCATGGCATCACTTGCACCCGAAGATCTTCACTGAATAGGCGGATGAAGCCCGCTCTATTTGGCATCAGATACCGTGCCTCCAAGGCAACAGTCGTACGATCTAGAACCCCTGTCCATAACTTTCGCGCTCTCTCTCCGAGAACTTCACCTGCGAACGTGTGCTCTTCCATCAATCGGACGTCGGGTCGTTGTTTGATTTTCCATCCCTCCGTTGCCGCAACCCTGGCATCAGAATCATTTGAGGAAAGACGCTCTCTTCCTTGTCCTGCGGTTCCCCCACGCCCTCGGCCACGGCCTCTGCTGCGTCCCCTGCTGCGTCCCCTGCCGCGTCCCCTGCCATGAGCCCCACCTTGACTGCGAACACTTCCAATTCCGCCGCCCCACGACCACTGCTACCACTATACGCATTGCCCCTTCCTCGCCCAACCCCTGGCGCCATGGATGCATGCTCCGGAGCGCTGGGCAGCAGAGTTGTCATGCCTGTGAAGAACAGCCTGCAGCTCCGGCTGATCTTTCTTGCGCTGGAGTACTAGGGGGAGCACAAGACTGCATGCATGGGATCGAGCAATGCATTTTTTTCAGGCAACTAAGTCCCAACGAGTTGAGAAATTTCTGCTCTTTGCATTACTGTTTCGGATCATGAAGTCCGTGACGCAATTAGTCCTCAGTTCGCGCCAAAGTTAGTACTTCAGCATAAGATGCGGAAGCTCTGTAATGATCACTACAGTGATCATAAGGGCCAAATCCAAAACGACGATTTGGCTATATGATCACTGTAGTGATCATTACTCACGCTAGGGATATCTGTTACAGATTTACGTTTACCATACTGATCTTGACCGCATCGTCCCAATCCCCCACTGATCTTGAAGTCTTCTGGTAACCCTAAACCCGTCCCATTCCCTTACTGCTCTTGACTCCTCTTCCCCTTACTGAACATGAGTACTGAGGACGAGCTACAGAGAATCACTGCGATCCAGGAAAATACTTCCGTATTGAAGGTATTCATCCCACGTAATACCGAAGAGAGCATCTCGCTATCCAACATTCGACGTGCGTATTTGAACCTATGCCTCCGAATCCATCCAGACAAGGGAGGGATTGGTAATATCGAAGAGGCCACTCGCTGCACGTCAAAATATCAAAATGCTTTGAGTTGGCCAAAGAGTATGCAGATAGCCATGGAGGAAGAAGTTCTTGCCTAATTCCAGGACATATTTGCTTCAATGGCTTTACTACGAATGAAGATGTTCCATTTCAAGAGGGAGATCCGTCCGATGCATTCAGAGACGATCTAAACGACCTTTTTGAGGGTTTCTTTCCCAGCGAAGAAGAAGAATTAATGCGAAAAAGGTCTGCATACCGGAGCCGCAGTCCTGATCATGACAGTAGCAGTTCCGATGACAGTATTGTGTTTGTCTCAGAATCCACAGCGCCATTTTTTAACGGACAAAACTGGAACCAATCACATCACGCTCCTCGGGAGGCTACAACCTCACCAAAAACCCCTCTTTGAGGACTAATCGCAGCGTCATACAGAAAAATTGCAAAGGGTACGTGAAAGCAAGCGTGCGAACAAAACAAGAGTTCGGGATGAGGAGAGGGAAGCACTTGCAGAGGAGAGAAGGGCGTCTGAGAGTTGGCGTCCGGAACGAGCAGTTGAAATAAAACCAGAACAAGGACTCCAAATGGACGCGAGGTCGAAATGTGAGCGGTATTGCCGTGCACATACGGCGTTTTTATCCATACAAAAAGGTGTACATATTCATCAAACGGCTGAGACAGTTTCTCTAACTTGTCGAGATGGTCATTGCAAGGCGAAGATACGGTTTCTTCGAGACCCAAGCACTGGTGGATGGAAGTTGCGTGAGTACAAGCCCATGCATGTCTAGGGCAAGACATTGGAAGTGACACAAATAATAGGCGAAATTGCACCCCTGCCTATACGGCAAAACAAGTGGCTCGATTGGTTCTTCTAGATCTAAAAGAAAACCCATCCTTGACAACTAGATTTATCGTCTCAATTGTGACTGCAAAACAGATATACACCCGTCAACCAGGTCTACTTCACTTCCGCGCAGTCAAGACCGAGATATCATGCATGATGACGGCCAATCGCCTAGAAGAAATGGCAACTATGGAGGGATATGCAATACTGTTACAGGAACTGGATCATTTTGTGGAGATGTTTACATGTTCTGCGGACGAAATGAAGCAAACTCGTGTTAAGGCTGCTAGGTTCATATTTAGACAACTCAAGAAAGGCTGGTTCGTGCCTGAGGAGGCAAGATTTGAACACCAAGTTGTCGACTGTTCGGACATTGTAGATGGCAGGAAATATTATTTAGGCTTCGTGTTTGTCCCCAACATTGCCAGCCATTTTTGCAAATATGGGAGAGCAACAACAGCCGCTGATGCTGCACACTGTCAGGGGTGCGGACGGCAGTCATACGGCACAACGTATGAAGTCGTTGGCTACGATGCTAACCACAATATATTGCCGCTATTGTTTGCCCACACCGTCGGAACTGAATGCAAAGAATCGTGGACCATGGTGTTTACGAATTTGAAGAGGGTGTCCGGGTTTGATGTTCAAGGCCACGTTACTATTGTGGACCAAGAAAAGTCCATTGATTGCTCTTTTGAAAATGTCATGGAATATGCCAAACTGTTCCTCCCCCCTTTGCATCTTAAGAAAAACATGATGAAGGCATTGGGTAAGAAAAAGGCAGCCGGTATCGCTCAATACGAACGAGCTGTGCATGCACCATCACGGAGTGCTATTGACGCAGTGAAACAGACTTATGGGCAGAGAACCGCCCAATATCTGTCTCGATTTCCGGATAATGCTCTTTACAGGGCATATTCTGGACTGCAGGATCTACTGACTTCATCGCAGGGCGCGGAAAGCCAAATGAGTGCCTCCCTTAGGAATCAAATCCGAGGTGTGGAACCACAGTCAATGCTGAAAACAGTCCTCGAGTCGCAGCGAAAGTCGTTTCTGAAACGGCAAAATATATATCTAAATTGCAAGGCCCCGGTCCCTCCGCCAGTAGAAAGGCATTTAGCATCCCTCATTCGTCGACGAAGGCCCTGTCAAGCGCATGTGACGTTTTAGACGGAACAGATCTTATGGAAGCCACTGTGATTAGTCAAGTGGATGGTACCAGAACAAGGCGAGTATTTCTCAGCAACGAACAGCAGAAAACTCTTGAGTGTTGTCCATATTCCTCCGACAGAGCTCTGTTTCCCTGCTGGCACGGAACAGCCGTACTCTGCGAGAAGTATGGGACGATGAATTTGTTCAAGTTTATTGGACGTAAAAATCTAACAGTCGCTTGGAAACAACAGTACGAAGGGCTAACGTTTGGGATGCCGCTGCAAGCAGACGTCGATAGAGTGGTTCTGGATGCTCAAGAGCAAGTTTTGTCTGGTTCTACCATCAACATTCCAGTTGCCCTTGCTCCACCGCGCGGGAGGCCAGTCCAAAATGCGGGGAAACGGATGAGCTCATGGTATGAATCCGGGCCTGCGGCTCGAAAACGCTCCTACCACTGCTCTCTGTGCCACCTAAAGGGACATATGGCTTGCAAATGTGAACTGCGTCAGCTGTTTAAAGATGACTGAAGTAGCGTTTTTGCCTACTACATGTGTTAATTTGTTTTCGCCTACTTCTTTCGTCACAGCCAGGCAGTTCCCCTACCATTTGGTCTTTTCCCCTACTGTTTCAGTCACGGTGGGTAATTTCCGCATGCAATGGCTGCTTCCCCCACTGAACAGCCACTTTTCCCCTATTCTCCTACTGAACTGCTACTTTTCCGAAACTGCCACTTTTCCGAAATTAGCCTACTGATAAAGCCAAATGGCACGAGTTCGCCAACGAATCGTGATATTTCCCAAATAGAAACCGATGCTGTGAAATTCATTACAGTTGAATGTACATGAATTCACTGACAGCCGAGCAGGAACCAAGCATGAATTTGAATGAGGGGGAAAGAGAGGAGCACTGATTGTGAAAGCAATGGAAGAGTAACAATTGAGAAGATGTCTTATTCAGCAATATACCTCTGCTGTTAGCCGAAAACATAGGGCGATGACAGGACGCAACCTATACACTTCCACAAAGCAAGAGAACAATTGATCAAGACTGCCTGGGGCTATGGCCCTGCAACGCATGAGCACTGGATAAATTATAACTCTAGATCATGAAGTGCAATACTACAGGAACATGTAAGTGAGCGAACAGCTTTGGTAGTGACAGCTACCAACATCCCCACATATGCCCTATAACTGTGGAAAGCACTTGGTCTTAAAATGTCATAGGATCGAAAGCCTAGTTGAATAATGTTTCTGTCACTTGGTCATTTGAAAAGCGACTGTGGCTTCAGCTAGAGTATCGCAAGAAACCCATCGTGATTTGCTGTTCTACAGATATCTTAGCCCACGCTGCGACCGTAGTGGACAAAAACTAAGCGTCTCAATGCAGAGCTGTCGTTGATCCAAATTACACTCTGCATCGAAATTTGATACACATTTTGGAAGAGTACACGTGTATGCGGATGCCATATTGAGAAGAGCCTTTGTTGTCAAGGTATTCGTTTCTTGTAATCTTTGCCTAATATCTCTCTCCTTGCTTGGTCTCTCTTTCGCCTCTCCATCATCTCCATGTGGCGTACGGTACAGTTAGTCTTCGTGAGGTTTAGGCTGGGATTCTGACCAGGGAACTTTCTCTCTGCACCGTCAATTTCGTTGAAACTCTCTTTCCTTGGTGGAGACTGACCTCCCCTTTTCGCACGCTTCGCATCTCCAACCCTTCTTTCAAGCAGGGCAGCTGTCGACTTCCCGAAAGCCCCGCCAAGTGCAATCTTCAGAAGCACTTCTTAGTTCGATATTGTCATGGGTGCTCAGCTTGAAGATGAAGCGGCAGGTGCCCCATCTACGAGTACGGGCGATATCCCCATCGAACTCGAGCCTACGCGGCGCAGCGATGGATATATACCTCCCGAGGACCCAAGTCGGACTAACGTTGAGGCTGGGGACTATTCAAGGATGTCATCGGGCTCAAGAATATCGCTTGTGACAATAGCCATCATGTTAGTGATCTTCGTTGCCCTCTCGCCGCGTCCGTTTTTTACCTCGCTGTTCGTTTTGCTATCTCTTCTACCGGCGTTTCCCATCATTCATTTCGTTCGTACCAAGTTTGACGATAAGTCAATCGGATGGACCTATCTTCTCAATCAGTTGTTGCTGGGCGCCATTCCTCTCGTACTCTTCACAATCATAGCTGAATGGTTGCTCACATTCGGAATTGGCTTCCTCATTTTCGAAAAAGAGCTGCGAGAAGTTGAGATCGCCATAGATACTCCACCAACTGTGGATGAGGACGGAAAAAGGCACGATCTACTTGCAAACGTGCTCGAACATGTTGCGCTCTGGAAGATGATTCTGTTTTTCCTTCTTATTGCTTTTGTTACGGCTGGCTTCATCGAAGAGGTGGCCAAGTGGATGCTGGCCCGCAGATACAGAAAAGTAGATCAGGAGAATGCGGAGCTCGACGCCGACTCAGGAGCGCGTATTGGATGCAAGGGCATCTTAGCAATAGCTTGTATGGGCGCGCTTGGATTTGCAGCCTGCGAGAATATGGGGTATATATTGGTAAGCGCATTATCAATTCGCAAGGGATTTTCGTTCAGGCTTGTCGGGATCACTCTTCTGCGCGGGCTGCTGGCGTATCCCTTACATATCGGAACGCAGTTCTTTGTGGCGGTGTCAGCAGCTCAGTGGTATGTCTTCAAAGACAAGAGTAACGTGATGCTAGCCCTGTTTGTGGCTGTATTGTTTCATGGAACGTTTGATGGGGTTGCGCTGCTCGGAATGTTGCTAATTGGAGGGAACATCATTCCGTTTTGGGTTGGTTATCTCATACCTGTCTTTGATTTCATGCTTGTCGGACTTTTACTGCTACTGTGCAGAAGTAGATACAAAGCGCTTCTGGTAAGAGAGAGCCTGGTTCTCGCCTCCGAGCCAGTGTGATTGCCATCGTGCTTGTGATGAGGAGATACGTATATCCTCATTTTTCAGTTGGTATCACTGCGCCCACGTCCTAAGGCTTGCTCTAGGACGGTTATAAAATCTGAAAACTAGCGCTGCCTTCAAATTTCACAGCCACATAGGAACATTTCGTGGCATTGAAGTTGATGCCGGGGTCAAGGCCGCTTCTTCCGATCTCACATGAGTTTTATATATGTCAAACATGTCAAACATCATTCGATGTGTAACCGAATACTCCTTGCTTCCGCTGTGTTTACAGGTTCTGTTCTGAGAGTACGGAATAGCTCTCGGAGCATTGAATTTCACTAAATCTCATTCGTAAACATCTTGTAAGAAAAAGAATACTATTCTTTTTCGCTCGCAATTATGTTTCTGCGACTGATCCCCACAACATTCATTTATAGCATATTTTGAGCTCGATTGTAGAGCCGTGAAGCCGTCGTCCTCTATCTTGTGTAGATCGATAGAAGAAATGATTGAACTCAGTAACCAGAGAAAAAAAATCAAATCTGCAGCATTTTTGATACATAGAAGAAGGCTACTGAAGGGGAAGAGACACCAACCTTCATCGCAAAGCTGCTTGGAGGCTCTCCTGAAGACCCTGGCCGTCCTAGCGAAAAGCGCTGCGGCAAGTTTCGCTTTGTTCCAGCTTTGTTACGACGTATAGAAAATGTCAAATTGTATCTGAGAGTGGTTCTCAGGATCAATGCTGGGCCTTATTCGCCCTACAGTATCATCGACTGTATTTTAGGTTGATGAGCCAAGGAAAGAGATGGAGAACATCCTCTTTGCTCCCTTGTACACGTGTACAAATGGCCAGCCGGCCTGATGTGAGTTCGCAAATTCTATTCGAAATTTATGCAGTGGCGTCTCCTGGACCTGGCGCAGCATCGAATCCTGACGAGCCTCGACCGTGCAGCGGTGGAGTGCCGGACACATTCCCGTGAATCGTGCGAGTGTCTCTTGCGGCCATGACAGATACGGACATATTTGGCAAAGCGCTTACCAAGGGCTTTTGCAGCGACAACTTGAGAAAGTGAGAAATTCACTCTGCCGTTCACGTTTCCACCTTGCTGATCGCCGTCACTCTGCAACACTACCCTCAGTTGGTGTGGAAAACTGCTGCCGAAAATGGGGGATAATCCGTACAAGAAGTCGCCCGCATTTGCGACGGCCGAGGAGTATCAAAGCTCGTCAGAATATTCATCTCGTGAGGGTCATGAAACTCCATCCCCAGCAAATTCAAGCCGTCTAGGTGCAACTGAAAACAATGAGACTGGCAACAATCACAACCGCGTTCATTCCGACGACTGGCGTGCAGCAAATGCGGTATGGCGACGTCCGGAAAGCAGTAAGACCCGCAGCGATCATCAGGAAGACTGGGGTGCAGCGAATGCTGCATGGCGACGCCCTCCATCACCGGGGGCAGATGGTTACCCTACCTCGGAAGAATCCAGGGACGAGGATCGAGGACCGAACTACGGTTCGAGGCATGACATGGACAGAATTGCCAACCACTCTCGGGGTTCACCGACAGAAGGTAGGGGTAAAAAGGGGCTGACTCATGCGGAGATGGCCATCATGGGCCGTGGCGGCGGGGAATTAGAAGGAGGCAATAACGACGCAGACAACTACCACTATACGGATGAAAATGGAAGGGTTATTGACGGAAGAAGTTCGGATGTACGTGACGAGGGTGATGACACTGAGGAAGCTGAGGACAGTGATGAAATGTCTCAACGCTCGACAGATAGAGAGAGCTCCAAAGCAAAGGCATGGTCCGAGTGTCATCCGGTCGTACTCGAAGCCGTGAGAATTCTGAATGCCAAGAGTGCCGATCCTGCAGAACTTGGATATGCACGTCTTGCCAGTGCCGGGAAGGGTGCTGTTGATTATATTGTTCGCAAGAGATCAATAACAATAGGCCGTTCAGCTTCAACATCTGACTGCACCATCAAATCGGAGGGACGATATATCTCAAGGAGGCATGCCATGTTGTTTTGGAAGCAGGAGGAAAAAGAGTGGGCCATCCGATGCCTCTCGGATAAAAACGGCATCCTTGTGAATGGGGTACCCGTCGTTCGGGGGTCGGATTCTATCCCTGTGAAAAGCCGAGACCTTATCGAAGTTGGAGATGCTGCTTTCTTCTTTTTAGCTGCAACTTCACCTGTTGTGCGAATCAATAGTATTACAGCTCTGGATAGAACTATTCGAACTATCCAACAGGGAGAAGATTATGACCGCTCAGAGTATTTTCATGCAAAGAAGAACGATTTGAGGACAGTGCAACAGAAAGGCTTGAATACGAACAGGATATACGATAACGAACGAAAGAAGCGTGCACAAGACAAGAGCAAACTAAGGTTAAATGTAGGGCGCCTTGATGGATTCTCCGGGACGAAGAAGCGCCGCCGTTCCACATCGTCCGGCGGGTTAGGTGATGCCCAGCATCTTCAGAAATCGCAGAAACGATGGAAGAAATCCCAAAAGGCAAAGAATAGGGCAGGTTTGGCGGATAATGCTTCTATTCGCGAATCGGATGACGACGGACGAACAGACGAAGACGATCCCGATGTAACTGAAGAGGAAGAAGAAGACGCAAAGCAGAAGACATGGCTGGACGAAAAAGCCAATCGGGGGCATGGAAGCCTATTTGGCAGCACTTCACTGCGACCTCAGCAGGACCTCATGTCTACTGAAAACAAAGAGGAGATAGAAGAAGCGGAGTTGGACGAAAATTGGCACTTAGAATCACCTCCCTCGAAATATAGAAATGACTGGAACAAGAAAGAACGCACAGATTTCGGTCGGGCTCTTTTCGCAGTGGGTGTTGACCCCGTGTATGATGATGATGGTTCCATCGCATACTACGATTGGGCTCGATTCCGGAAGATAGCAGGATTGTCGAAAAAATCAGATCTGATGCTTGAAAATTACTACATTAATATGATGACCGATGTGCATAGCCTTTTAGAAGAAGAAGAGCAGGAAAAACGAACTAAGGGCCCGCGGACCAAGCACAAGCCCGGGTGCGACTGCGTTGTGTGTGAAAACACTCGCAAATCTCGACGGAAGAAGAGAGAAGAGCGTGAAAATTCTGCAATGAATGAACTACCCGAAGAAGAAAGTGATGGAGAGGATGAAGCAGCGGTGAAGAGCAGTGCCAAATCCAGTGACAAACTCGTTGGTCTTGTCACAGCCCAGAAGCTTCGCGTCAGACTTAGCATTCACGATGCGGCAAGACAAGTTCTCAACGGTGCTGGTAAAGCATTGTTCAAGAAACTCAGTGAACAGCCGGTTCGAGGTTTCCCGAGATGGTGGCGACCCGGTATACATGATAAGGCACTGATGCGTGGAACCGCAATTCACGGCGTAGCTCAATGGTCAAATATATGGAATGACCCGAATCAAAAGGTCTTCAGGAAGCAAAAAGAAGAAGACGGGGATGCAATTGTATGGCCCTCGAATCAAGCTGCCATGAAAAGGGTGCGAGATATTTCGAGCGGAATCAATGCAGAGCTGCGGCGGGAGGCGAAAAGAGCAGCCAAGGATGATCATGTCTCCGGGCGGGATGTGTATTACAAGCAGAACAGGCATAAAAGAACCAAAACTGCTCGTGAAGAGAAGGCTTTTCAGCGAAGAAAAAAGGCAAGTCGACGCTCAAATTTGTCTGCGGATGAATACGAGGACGTTATGTCGGATGGTGGAGAAAACGGTGACGGCGAGTCCACGGTCGAAAGCGCTGCAGAGATGGCAGAAATTGAAGATCAAGGTCAAGGTGCTGCCGACGTCCCTACTGAAGATGACGACGTCTTAGAGATGGAAGTAGAGGAAGAGATGGAGATAGAAGACAATGGTGACAATGGTGACAATGGGGAAGAAACCGAAGAGGAATCCTCAAAAGGACAGGCTGTCGAGAAGCCAATAAAAGCTCGCAGCAATGTCGGTGATAATTGGACGGATGAGGAAGAAGATGATGAAGACGTCATTCAATATGAGACAGCCTCCGACAGCGGTTCTGAGTAGACAGATGAGCGCGAAGGAATTGTGGATGGGAGATTTTGCGCCCCTAAACGCAACATTATCTCATTGTGGATAACAGTGTCTCCTTGCAGTACGATTATGGTATGTTTTAGAGGCTTTACATCCTTGTCAGTCGTGCGCTGTGCTTTGTACTCATACGGTCGTTGTCGATCAAGTGACAATCATTAAAATCCCTCCAGTGTTCGGATGGGGCGCATTCCGCTTGCACTCTATCAAACCTCCACCGATGTTGGTGTCAGGTCCCTTTTTAATGTGCATGGAAGAAAACGGTCCGAGTCGAGCGCAGCAGTTACAGCAGATTCAGTTCCTCGAGTAATTGGGCTAGCCTGGCCTCTACATCTGGGGTTGCATCTATCAATGGCAGACGTGGTCCCCCGACACTCCAACCTTGTAATCTCAAGGCCGTCTTGGTCGGAATGGGGTTAGTCATGATGAAGAGATCGTTAAACAATTTCGAATATTTGAGATGTATTTCGGTAGCTCCGGTTACATCTCCTGCAGCGTATTTTGTGACCATGTCCTGGAGCTGATTCCCGATGAAGTGGCTGGCGACAGAGACCACACCCGTGGCGCCTAGTGATAAGAAAGGAAGCGTGACAGCATCATCACCTGCATATATATGAAAATCACTGGACGTACTCTTCCTGATTTCAACGAACTGGTCTAAGTCGCTTGTGGCTTGCTTGAGGCTGACGATATTGTCCAAATCTGCAAGTCTGATAATAATCTCTGGGGACATGTTGACACCAGTTCTGCTGGGCACGTTGTACAACATGACTGGGAGATCTGGCTCAGCCTGTGCAATTGTCTTAAAATGACAATAAATGCCCTCCTGAGGAGGTTTGTTGTAATAAGGAACTACCTGTAGCGTTCCATCCAAGCCGAGCTTCTTCGCACGACGCGTGGCTTCAACAGCTTCATGAGTAGAGTTAGAGCCCGCACCAGCAATGACCTTGGCGCGATTGCCGACAGCATTGCGGACAACGTTGAAGAGCTCGTACTGCTCCGACCAGGTTAGTGTGGGGCTCTCGCCGGTGGTGCCGGCAATGACGAGGGCGTCCGAACCGTTTGCGACGAGATGGGAGGCGAGCTGCTCCGCTACGGCGTAGTCGACTTCCTCACCGCCGCGCTTGAACGGCGTGACCATGGCGGTGATGACGCGGCCGAAGACCGAGGGGCTCGAGGCCGGCGCAGCCCTCACGGCGATCGTCGCTGGGTGTGCCTGCGACGTGGTGTTCACGGTAGTCATCGATGGGCACAGCGGGGGAGGGCTTCGATAGATGGAGAGCGAATGTGAAGCGACCGGGACCGGGGCGAGGAATGCCATTGCGGATTGCATGTTGTCTTGACGATAAGGCCGGGTGGGAATGATAGAAATGTATCCGAATGAATTGGTTGCTGCAAAGTGACGACGTTGTTGACACCTGTGCAGTGCAGGAACGATTCGGAACCGAGATACGGAGTAAAGTCTCGATAGAGTGAACCAAAATGTGGCACATATTGGAAGCCCAATAGTTCACTGCACAAGCTGTTCACAGCAGCGATCATAGATACGGCTGGCATTACAGTAGCGTTCATAGGTAGGGCTGGCATTACACATGCCGGAGCGCAGGACGGCGACTGTTCGGGATTCAGGAGTGCCAAGCTCCCACATGACTACTCAATCCCATGGATAGCCTCCAAGACGCTGTTCATCGAGCCGCATCTGCGGCTCTAGAAGCCGCTCAGAATGCTGCTGAAGCAGCTCGAAAAGCAGCTGCAGTGACTGCGACAGGCTACGAAAAAAAGAAAGCAAGTCAGCTTGCAAGATCGCAAAAACGCGCTTACAGCGCTCTGCGTCGCGGCTGATGGAACACGACGATCAGCACTAATTAATCCTTCCACCAGGCAACCATGGACAAAAACGGACCTGGTAAATCATATCGGCGTCTCAAAAAGTGCTATTACAGCATGGATCACAAACAAAAAAACATTCTTGCCTCGGAATGCCTCCTTGCAGCACTTCTCAAGCGAAAACGGCTCAAGCCTGGGTCGTACCCTGAGCTTGAAAAGGCGATCATGTCGTACATGAACGATCTCATACAGTACCTACGACACGAATCAGCTTTTCGTGAAAGCGTTGTTCGAGAAAGAGCGCTCAGCATTCGAGGCGGAATGATTCTAGTTTAACAGAAAGAGCTAAACTCGCGAATGATGCCAATGTCCATAAGTTGCTTGATGAGGCGCGAAAACTGCAGTCATTCGTAGCCAGCCATGGTTGGTATCAGCGTGTTATAGTTAGAAATAGATTTGCAAGCAGAAAAGGCGCTGGAAGCGCAAAACATTTTGACAAAGATCTTGTGGATAACTCGCGACACGAAATGAGAAAAGATGCAGCTCATTTCCCTCTATCTTGTATTATGAACACAGACGAAGTGGCAGTTGTCTACAGAGCCTTGCCATGTCGATCCATTTCCCAGGATGGCACTGCGTATGAGCACATAAAGGACAGGCTGACAGCAGTGCTCACAGTCTTCGCAGACGGATCAAAAGCCCCATTGACTATTGTAGGGAAGTCAAGACGACCTAGGAGCTTTCCAAGACATTTTGATGGCCTCCGAGATCTCAATATGTACTACATGGCACAAAAGAATGCTTGGATCACAAAGAACATTTGGACCCAAATTGTAGGTGGATTTGACAAGATTGCGCGCCTCGAAGGGAAGTCATTCATTAATGTTGTGGACAACTGTTCGGCTCATAACATTTCGTACAAAGAATTCACCAACTTTAAGTGCTCCTTCCTTCCTCCCAATTTAACATCACATCTTCAACCCGTCGATGCTGCCGTGTGACGCTCTTTTAAGTGCCATTTTCGGCGTTTGCTAGTGCGGCATATTCTCAATTCAATTGAGGCCCAATTAGACGAGCCTCCTTCGCAACGCGAGCCATTCAAGATTTGTAAGACTGTTACTGTGTATGATGGAGTCAAATTGATGGCCAAAGCTTGGGATCTAGTACCTGACAGCCTCATTTTAAATGCTTAGCTAAAGACAGATATAGTCCCTCCATTTCTAAGAGAAGAAATTGTCAAGCTGCGCACGGATCGTCAAGAAACTGTCAGAGCTGCTATACGGGCGCCAGCGAAATTGGCACCCCGTCTCGTTCAAGAAGTGTGTAGGAAAGCGGCAGAGAGTGCATACTGCCGTGGCCAGTTGTACGTGTATGCGGATGAATGCGTGCTAAATGAGGGGAACGAAATTGAGACGATAGACGGGGAAGAACAGGGGGAGATTTTAGAGAATTGCTTTCTAAGGACATCGTGGAGTTAAGGGAAGCTGGAGTTGTTGGGGACGTTGACGTTGCTGAGCTACAGAATATGTTGGAGAAGGAGAGTGCTCTTCCAGTCTGAAATTATTACAGAGCGTAGTGCTCTGGCCTGTAGTATAACCCCCCTTACCGGAATTAGATATACATCAGATCGGCTACTGTAGAGCCCGAGCTCTACAGTACCTCCGCACGCGCCCACACGTGTACGGGGCGCGCACGCACACGTGTGCTAATACGTGTAACACACGTGTACAGTCAGCACGGGCCGACCCGCGCTGACTACAGTAGCACTACAGTACAGTCCTGTAGATGTGGGATTGGAGCAAATTGAGCCTTTTAGAGCATCTCCAGCGCTACAGCTAAATCTATTCCAATTAGGACGCGTGTCAGTTTTCCAGCTGTTCGCTGTCTTTGGGCACCCCATGTTCCAAATTGTTTGCAATGCGCTATGCCGAATGCGCTGCTCGTCTCCATCGCGCGCACTCGATAACCCGCAGGACGACATGGACTCTCTGGACGACTTTGGCGCCCCAAAACCGATGGCGCCGCTGGAGGCGGTCGAACGCAGCGCCGCTGCGCAGGAGAATGACGAGTGCGACATTGAGGACTTCCTTACAGACGATGACGAGGATGACGTCGTCATCTTCCTGACCGAGGGCATTCTCGACATTCTGTTTGATGATGCTGGCGGCGGCGAGAGATTGCATGGCGGGTCCATAGCAGGCCGCGCGCACAACCAAGATCGCGACTACGACGCTGCAGTGGCGCGTATCAAGACCCTCTACTTCGGACTGAGTGGCAGTCCTCCACAAGTCAACGAGAGTACTTTTTCGAGAAGGTTTGGAATCCACCGCGAGGGCTTCGACAAAATCTACAGCGCGCTTTCGACAAGACCAGAGTTTGTCCAGAAGACTGACGCTGTTGGAAAGAGAGGAATCCATCCTTTTCAGCGTATCACCGGAGCCTTGCGAGTGTTGCGATATGGTGTTGCATACGATGCTGATGATGAAATTGTCGAAGTGTCGGAATCGGTGATGGCTCAGACCGTAAAGTTATTCTGCAAAGCTATAGTGCAAGAATTTGGGGAGGAGTATCTACTCGAACCTAATGAAGATGACCTAATGCGCATACTTGCAGTAAATGAGTCGCGCGGGTTTCCTGGGTGTTTGGAAAGCATTGATTGCCAACACTGGGAGTGGAAGAACTGCCCGGTAGGATGGGCCGGTCAGTTCAAGGGAAAAGAGAAGAAGTCGACCGTAGCGAGGGAGTCCATCGCGGATGGCGAACTCTGGACATGGCATCTATCTGTCAGTCATCCTGGGTCCATGAATGATTTGAATATCATGGACAGCTCGCGAGCGATGCAGCGAAGCCTTGCAGGCGAATTCCCCCCGCGCATACCCTATACTATCAACGGTACAGCACGTACCTTGCCCTACTACTTGGCAGATGGAATATATCCGTCGTGGGCAATCTTTGTGAAGACTGCAAAGGGCTCAAACGAGCGCAAGGCGAAATGCTTTTCGGCTCATCAGGAGGCGGTCAGGAAGGATGTTGAGCGTGCTTTCGGGGTACTCGTCTCGCAGTATCACATGCTACGACGTCCGTGTCGTATGTGGGACAAGGACGATGCAATGGACGTACTGCGCGCCTGTGTAGTAGTACACAACATGTATCGCGAGGCGCGACGTGACAACTACAATGTCTCTCTGTACGCGCGCGCTACATCTCGTGAGCCATTCATCAGCGCAGTTTAATTCGCTCCTGACGCCGACGTCGACTTCCGCTGGGAAAACTCGGCGTCCGTCAGCAATTTAGCTCCTGCCGGAACATGGGCCGCGCTTGCTGCAGCTCGACGTGCAGAATCAGAATCAGAGGTCGCGCACTTCGAGCTGCGCTACGATCTAGAGCAACATCTTTGGTGTTGGAAAGACGCGGTGAGGCTGGCGCTTGGGGCACACGAAGCGGGATAAAACGTATGACGGTGGAAGGAATTCAGTTGCCGGTCGCCGCAGTGCGCTGTGTAGAGTTCTGCAGTGATGTCACTTTTCCCAGCCGCGTACGTACACGGGCGATCACAACGCCGCCTTCATCCGCGAACCGCGCAGACTTCTTTTTCGTCGCGACTACCTACACACCGCGCGCTGCGTTTCGCGTCTAGGGTACTGGAGTACCCGCCGGCACCGCGCCACCGCCGTCCCCTGTGTGCGGCAAATCGACGTGGGTCCCGTACCGCCCGCACCCATCGTGCCCCCACGTCTTGTCACCGGGGGCCGTCTTTCCAAAAGGCCGTGCGTCTCCCTGCGAGCGAGCGCGACAGCACGGCGGACGTGCGGCCCAGCCCCATGCGCGCGTCGATGACGTTGACGCAGCTCCCGCCGGCGACGTAGACTGTCTCGCGTTCCGCGTCTCGGCCGGCTACCTCTGCGTGCACGACCGGCGCGGCCACTCGCCCCGTTGGCATGCACGCGCCCTTTTGCAGGTCCCACAGCTTGACACACCCGTCGGGGCCGCCGTGGCTCAGGACGGTGGTGCCGGTCCCCGGCCGGACCCAGCGCACGGGTCTGTCGCACCCGCGCAACACGGCCAGCCCGCGGCGGCCCGACGCCAACCGGACGCCCAGGGTCTTGTCCGCGCTCCCGGACACGTCGACGTCCCCAACGCGGGCCACGGCCCTGACGGCGCCGCGGTTCCCATTCATCACGCGGCCGAAGGCGCGTGTGCTTGGGTCGTACAGAGCCACGGCGTCGTTGGCAAAGCCGGTGACCTGTTCGTGCTTCGATGCGTGCATGGCAGTAACAGGGTCTGTCTCGTGTGGCGCCAAACGGGTCCAAGTGTCCCTCCGGGCGTGGCAGTGGTGCATGGAGAAGGCAGTGCCGGCGGAGACGTACAGGGCGGCGTCGCATAAGGCGATCTGGGCCTGGGCGTGGCCCTCCGTGTGCAGGGCGCGAAAGGGAGAGGTGGCGTGCCGGTGGTAGTCGTCGGCGAGGTCGTGTACGGCGACGGCGGCGTGGCAGGGCGCGAGAAGGCGGTGCGGCGGCGGGGTTGGGGGCGGGCGGCGTTGCGGAGGCGGTACACGTTGCACCAGAGCGGGGTGTTGGTGGCGGCGAGATGGGCGCGGAGGACGCGGTGCGTGATGGAGAGCGAGAGGCGGTCCTTTTCCGGGAGCAGGGCGGCGAATTGGGCGAGT